AGGATGAGGAAGGAGGGGAGTGGCCGGTGAGGGAGGCCATCGGCAGCATGATGTGAGTGTCGACTTTCTCGCGTTCAGACGTCTCGTTCGCCGTGCGTGCGGTAGCGCTCCACGTCCACGCCCCGGCGAAGAAGCACTGGGATGCCATCCAGAAGATCCTCGGCTACTTAACGGAGGCGAGGGACCTCGGCATCACCTACCAACGGGGATCGGGGTTAAGGCTGGCCGTGTACGTAGANAAGTTCGTTCCGACAACGGAGCAACACGCGGACCTCCTAACCAAGGCCCTTAGCAGGGCTAGTCTGCAGCACCACCGGCGCAAGTTGATGAATTTGCCGGAGCTGTAGCAGTTTTTAGCACTTGCCTTAGACTTTATAATAAGTGCGGCCGTTGTGATCCGCTGTGATAGCGACGGTTTTTGTGGTGGTAGGGGTTTATTCGAGGGGTTTTGCCCGGAAGCCGGGTTTCCCCTCCATGTATTACCATGTTGGTATTTCTGATGTATCCAGGGGCGTTCTTGCCCCATTGATGGTTAGTCACTTGCGTGAAGAACCAGGGAGGGTGTTCGTGGGTCTGCGAACATTGGTGTTGGATACATGTGCTGTATGACTTTGGTGTCACGCAGATTGGTAAGATTGCCGTTTGGTAGGGGGCACCGCGATGAGTCACGGGGCCCCTCCTTGGTGTAGGAGCTGCCCATGTGGGGCACTCCCTCTTTCGTCCGTGTGAAGGACGGTGGTCTACCTCTCGTGAAGTTAATACATCACCAAAACAGTCTCACCCTATAAATAAGTGGCATAGGCCGCAAACAACGCCAGGCCCTATCCTGCGGAGCCTTCTCCAGTAGCGCTGTCAGACGTTCGAGTCTTGGGCGGTCTCTTTCGTCAGCTTGAGCAATTACTGGCATGAGCGCGCTGGGAGTGGTGACACCCCCTTCGTCCACTGCTATCTCATCTGCACCCCATCTCAGAAGCAGATCCGCGGCGTCGGCATGGCCCTTTTGGGACGCGGCGTGCAAGCAAGTCCATCCAACTTCGTCGTGGCTCTTCGCGTCGGGACCCAGTTGTAGGAGAACGAGCATGGCAGCGCAAGGCCCCTTCCAGGCCACGTACCAAAGTGGTGATCGTCCAAGTGACGTTCGAGCTTCAATGTCGGCCCCGGCTTCGATGAACGCTGGGATGGCGCCTGCTTTGTTGCACTTGACGGCAACGTGCAAAGCGGTTTTCGAAAGGTTCGTCTGACGCTTCGCATCGGCACCGGCAGCCAGCACAACCTTCACTGTCGAAAAATAATCTCCTCACCCCAAGACTGATAGGGGTCATGCCTTCATCATCAAGAGCGTCGAGATCCGCCCCCTTGTAGGCCAAGGCATGCACGACGTCATGCCGACCTTGACGGGCGGCGTGTTCGAGATAGAGGCATGTGTATCGACAGAAGCGTAAAGAGTCTGATAGGATAGTTTGAATGTCGGGACTGTCAAGCTGAAGAGTCGCTGTGTAGCCACATATTATGAGAATAAAGTGGAATGTTCTTGGTCCTTTCCCTCTGGCTGTAGGAATGTCCTTCGTGGAAATTACATTAGCCCGAGGATGTGTAATACGTAGGAAAGTGCATTGGCCCGTTCCATGCATCGGTCCGTGTTCGGTGAATATGCGTGATCGGGCGAATGCCCAAGCGTGATGCTGCTGGGATGCTGTGCACCCACCCAGCTCACTCCACCTTTTGACCTGTTCTCCTGGTCCAAGGTCTCATCAATACAACATATTTTCCCCAGAAGCCACGAGTTTACCAACACGGCGGCATGGATAGGGCAGTCACGTGCGAAACCTCGGGCTTTGGGATTGGCTCCACTGAGCAAAAAGGTCTTCCGCGATGCGCGCATCACCCCGACATCCGATGACAAGATCAAGGAGAGTAGTGTCGCCGTTGCGGTCCGCCGCATTCACATCGGCCCCGGCAAGCATCATCGCCCGTGCCGCAGCCTCCTTCCCAGTTGCAACTGCAACGTGGAGTGGAGTCCCCCGCACCATGCCCACGACTTTGGCCTCAATGTCTTCTTCAGCGCCAGCCTTGATGAGAGCCGTCACCACCTCCTCCTCGTTCCCGCCCTCGGCAGCCGCATGCAGCAGAGTGTTGTCATCACAACCCCGCCGGCCCGCGCTCCCGTTTGCTCCAGCTTTCAACAACTTCTCCACCAAGTCTTGGTTGGCCGTGCCTGCTGCATGCTCCAGAGGGGCTCTCAGCCACTCCGCCCACTGTTCCGATGTCGCTCTATCGCACATGAGTTCGAAGATCATGTCTGCTGCATCCCCAAGGATTTTGGCACGGTCTTCTGCGTCGTCTTCTCTTCTTGGCCATGGCATGGTGACACTGATGAACGAGTGCGAAATCAAAGTCAACACCACCAACAACACACGACTGGCCCTCGTGCACGATAATCGAGAAGGTTTACAAAGCAACAAGTTGACCACAGCAAGATATCTGGGATGTGGCATGCCAGATGCAACACCACACAACAAAAAATAACATTCTACTTCGGCTCAGGGCCCATAGGTAGGGCTAGGCGGGGACGTAATATATAAATTTTCGCGCGAAGCACGAAAAAAATTGAAGAGGCGTTTTCCCGGTCGGGCTGTTTTTTGGCTGTTTTTTCCACACCCCCCGATCCACTGTTTAGGGCATAGTCTATGTCCTTGAAATGTGAGCCGATTTCGAAACGGTTTCTTGCACTGCATTCCCAGGCACGTCTAGCATACCGTCCTTGTCGAAAGACGGCAGATGGTGCCGGAAAAAAAAACACACACACACAACTTCTCCCTTGGCCAATTCGTGTGAGATCACCACTTCCACCATGCACGCTCAGTAGCGTGGTGGAAGGTTGTAGCAGCAGCAGCAGCATACTGATGGACTGGCGTGGAATCGCTTTGCACTGGAGCCTCCAGTCGCATCGGCAATGAGTGGTGTCATGAACCAAGATTTGGCACCACCATCACCCGTACCTGGACCTGCGCNCCTTGTCGAAAGACGGCAGATGGTGCCGGAAAAAAAAACACACACACACAACTTCTCCCTTGGCCAATTCGTGTGAGATCACCACTTCCACCA